CACACACACACACTACTGTACTAAAGTCTTTGACTTAAAACAAAACGCAGAGAGAAAACGCAAACCACAGAAGGTTTGTAGGCTGCAACTCAACACAAACAGAGCTTAAAAAATGGACTTATTTATCTGATCGCATGCTTTAATCAGGATGCCTACAGAAGCCCATGGAGCTGCTCCTCAGCATGATGGAGGAGCTCTGGTCTGGGAAGAAGGAGAATCAACAAAACAACAAACAGTTCCTCAGTAAGCGATTCTCTCCGTAACAGAGCAATCCATAACTAGTCAACTAGTCCCGCTAACCCAGTGCTTTCTATCCAGTGAAGATGGTCCAGATCCTCAGCTTGATTGGGAGGAGCACAGGAGATACACACTCTGAAAGAGACGCTCAAAGCCATGAAAACACGGACTGAATTACAGGAAAAACAGCATCAGTCTGAGATTGAAGATCTGAAACTCCAGGTTCAGCAGACGCAAGAGTCCATCGTAAGATCATTTCAATCAAACGAGTCTTTGTCTTCGTTTGAACTAGTTCATTATTAGCTCATATTGTGTTCCGGAGTGGTTTTGTTTGTCCTGAAAGTGAGTTAATTTGATCACATTGGACTAAAACTGTGCTCAAACAAGGTATAACGACTTGCCAAGAAAAGGATCATTTTTGTACTCTTTTTTTTTTTTTTTCCAACCTTGTTGCACTCAAAAATGACCAGCCTAACAAAAATTGCTTATAAATTTACCAAATACTGGATTCAAATTATTTTTTTCAATTAGCACAGGTTTTGTATTTCTTTTTGGAACTGGTTGATCATAGGCCTCGTTGATCTGAGCTGATGCACCTCTGAACATTGCCAAAATTATCCACTAATAATATTTAAGGGTTAACAAAAGCCCAATGACAACGTCCATGTGATTTGTGTGCCATATTCCAAGATAGTGCAAGATATCAGTACATATGGCACACAAATCTATCTTATGACTTAAGAACACTCGGAAGTATAAACATTACATGCACGATTTTTTTCACACACACATCGGGATTTCTAAAAACTAAACTTGGATATTTTTATTTTAAAACAAGATGAAAACTGAATGATTTTGATAATGTGACAGTCTTGTACGGTTAAACACTATGATCCCTTGCATATTGAAATTATATGTAAATTAGGTTATGCATTGCTCAGCTATTTTGGGGATGCATGTATGAAAGTATCTGAATTTTGCACAACACAACCTGCCTTTTATGCATATACTTTTAGGATGAAATCTACACCAAGTTTTGTGTTTTTAGTCCTTTTGACCTTTTTTTCAAATTTTGAAGTAAATAATGACTAACATTTTTTCTGTTTCATACGTCACATTAGAGAAGGTAAAATGACGTCTGCTGTTGTCTTTAATGCAGGAAGCCCTTAATGAGCAGCTGAAGAGCGTTCTGGAGGAGAACGTGTCTTTACAGAAACAGCTGATCAAAGCAGAA